CTGCTAAATTAGGGACGGCTAGCGCAGATAGCCCTGGTGTAGCTTTGCGCGAAATTCAAAAACAACAAAAAACAGCAGCATTGTAATATGAAACAGTTTTATGTAAAAGCCCCGAAGAAGCCACAAAGATGAAACCTTGGGTAAAATAAAACTTCTCTTTTAATTATCTGATGTGTAAATGTCATGTTTTTTTTTCAACTTTATTATCAAAATATGTAAATTCCTCCAGTATGTACTACAAATTCTGAAAGACAGCTATACTATCAAAGTATTTCAATAAACAATAATAGTTTGATTTAATCTTTAATATTATATAAACTTTAATTTTTTAACTCAAAAAGAGAATATCTAAATAAATTCTCGTTTTTTTAATTCTCTGTGTCATGAGATGCTTCTCTGCTCTGAATTCTTAAGATTTTCTTCCTTTTTTATATGGGTTTCAAATTACCAACCAATTAGAATCACCAATTGTACATATTGATAGGCTAGAATTTAAAGAAAGAACCTTCCACTTTTATTTTCTAAAATATAAATAAATTGATTGCATCCTTTACAGAAACCTTTGAAATTACTTGTTTACTCATGCTGTTTCTCAATGTTGCATGTTTACAACTAATAGAAGGGCCATTTTGTGAAATTCGTGATTATGATGATTTGATGTTAATTTATCTAGGTAAAATGCACCATTTTCCCCCAGTAATTTTTTTTTTTGAGAATAAAGTTGTTGCTGTGGTAAGTAAGGAAATTTGTTTAAACCATTTATAAATGAATTGAAATCCAGGAAATTTATAGAAGTTTGAGCCATTATATTTTATTATTTGAATTATTGTTTGTGTTTGAAAATGCACATTTGAAAGCTACATGAATTATTTTTTGGGCAAACAATGTAGTTGGAAAGTATAAGGCTTATGAAAACAGGTCACATAAGTACAAAATGGCTTCGGTGTCTAAAGTGCTAAGAGTCTTATTTTTATGTACTTTTTTATTGAATGTTATATTTTTTTTTAACAAACGTAACTGAAATTTAAAAATCAAAAACATATTAGGTTAGGTAAAAATATTTCTCTGTAAGGTAAGCACATGAGCTGCTCCTAGGTTAGATAATTTAATACTTTGTTTACGTAACTTGAGTTATGCTTTTTTTTATGTTGTAGAATTTGTTTAAATTAAATGGATAATTTATGACTGAATTAATGATGTAGTGGAGAATAAATTGGGGGGAGGAGTCTTGATACTGTAGATCTACATTTAATGGAAACATCATCATTTTACTGCTATTTTTTTATTTGGAATTTTCACATATTAATTCCAAGGTTGGCAGAAAGCAATTAGTACTTCTCTTGAGTTGTATGATTTTAAGTTAAGAATATGAATCACGAACTTATGTGTGAAATAATTTTTTTTTTCTAATGTTCAATCGAAACTAAACATGTAGGAAAGTTGCATGCGTGAACATTGTACATTTGTTTAATTCGTGAAAGTGATGATAAAGGTTGTTTACACATAATTAATTACTTTGAAAGAGTTTTTTCTTGTAATGGTTTACTGAGAATGTTGGGAATTTTCACTTGTTTTTAAAAAATTACAAACTACAACTGGAGCAAAAGAAAATGCAATGGGGTAAAAAAAAGGAAGTGAAACTGTCTGCTGTAATTTTCGTTAAAGGAACATAGGCATTGTTTTATTCTATAGATAGGAAATATGTACATTTATTGATCCAGACAAACAGTGTCATACTGCACAATATTATTCAAGAAAATAGAAAACATATAAATACCAATACAGTAACACTTGACTAGAGAAACTGAAATGGTATTTTATTTTGTTTGAACCAGAATGGAAAGGAATAAGGCGTTCTTAATGGGAGTCGAAAATTTTGGTTCTTTTTTTCTAAACTGAACTGGAATGGAACAGAAGTCTGATTTGAATCATTGCCCAGTAATATTAGTTTGATGTAACTTGAATATCATTTAATAGATATAATGAGAAATATAAGTATGACAAAATTTTAAGTTTTTCTAGTGTAGCACATTCAACAGTCACATTTGATTAACTTAAAGGTTTATACTTCTTCATTTTACCAGTGTTGTAAGACGGAACTCCCAACCAATTCAATTCAGTACTCCCAATAGTGACTTACCACTAAACAGCTTACCAGTGTGGCCTTCGAGTCCTGTCAGAAAACATCAGCAAGAAAAATTGGGTGCTGGTCTCTCCTCAAGTGTGGAAGCTGTGTATCCAACACCACTAAGCTACCATTTTCAAGCAGAATTAGACAAAATTTTCAAAAAAAAACTGGCCTCAGGTTAGTTCTAATCAGATTTTTACCTTCCTGATTTTTCTGCAAAATTGTCTTTTGATTTTTTGCTATTTAAAAGATCAACAATGTGTAAAAGTATTTCTGTTTTTATAGATTTCTTGACAATCTAATTGGCTTTATCAAACCTTTTTTACATGCAATATTTATTCTTATTTCCTTTTTTAGTGTGTATTTTCCTACATTGTCATATATGTAATTTCAGTTAGTAAACATATTGATTTACAAAGTTTTCAGTATTCAGTTATGTAGTTTTAATTTCTTTTAAAGTGATTGTTAGAAGAGTAGAAATTTAATTTTAATTTTACAATAATGGTTATATCAAAGCATATACTTTTTGAAATATATGTTTTAAATGTTTATAGCTAGTAATCTTCAAACTTAAATGCAATGAATTTACTAGCTTTCAGGTTCAATTGTTCCATATTATTATAGTCTAGATAAATGTGGCAATAAAACTGAGTGTTAAGAAGCACTTGTACAAGTCATGTTAATCATGAACTTAGGATCAAATTAATTTTTTCAGGTGTTTCAGCATAAATCTTCATAAGAAATAGATTTCAATAACATATATATATATATAAAATGATTATTGATTGATTTTTTGAAGTGGTTTGGTCATTGGCTATTTGATTTATATAGTAATTAACCCAGATATTGTGTGTGTTTATTTTGCTGTTGCTGAAACATACTTTTGATTAAAGCTTGTTTTTAAACGTCAGACAAAACAGAAATGATTTCTACAGTAGATTTGTCCATATATGTCTAACTTCTCAGAGCATTTTGTTTTGTAGTGTGTTAAATCAGGGGCTCTCAAACTGGGGGCTGGAGAAAAGTGTCAAGGAAGCCATAGCAATTACACAGTACATATAACTTCATTGAGTAGGGGGACATCAGTCAGGATGTAGAATGTTCCGGGGAGAGGGCCTTGTGCTGAGAAAATATGAGAACCCCCTGTGTTAGCTAGTTAAAATTGGAACTTATCTAGCTAATGTCAGAAAAGTACAGAGGAAGTAGTAGAAAGTACATTTTTACAGACTGTTTATTTTACATATTTCTATATGTGATTTTTAATTGTGCTTGCTAGAGTAAAAAACTGTCATTTCAGTAATACGGTGTTTGTTAAAAAATTAATGAACTTCAGTATATAATTTTCAGTGAGCAGCGTTAGAAATGAAATATTATCTTAGTTTCTTGTGAAAAGCTTGCAGAATATATTATTTTCCCCTTTCAGATCCTCATATTGACATTGCCATACCAGCTAGCATTTCTCATGAAACAAAATCTTTAGACTCGGCATCAGATAAGACAGCTTCAGATTACTTAGAAACACTTCAGAAAAGATACTGTGTATGAAAAGCTCGAGGAAGATAAGAATTGTTGACCAACTTTTATTTCTTTTTTTTCCAGACTTATTTTATAGGCATAAATGATGTTAGCTCTTTAGCACCATGTTATCACTTTGTTTATTATTCAAGTGCGTTTGTGATAAAAGAATTAAGCCCATGTATTCCTTTTATAATTGAAAAAAATATGACTATAGTGCACTATTTCACAAAATAAGTACTTGTAGATTATCAATATTATCTTCAGAGAAATGGCAGTTCTTTCTATAAAATCAAAGATGAATCTTTTCTTTTAGGCAAAGGTGGTGAATATCATTTAGAAGTGAATGACTAGAAGAACAAATATATGTTTATTAGATTAGCCATGACTGAAAGTGCCTCAAGGTGTACATAATAAAATCTGCTGGATAAGAAAGTGCCATAATTATATATATTTATTTAAAATGGGTATTTCATAAGTTATTTGCTTGTATGTGTGAACAACGTTTTTGTGGAGTTTTGAATTGCCGTAGATCAAACTGAAGTAATTTTCTGTGTTCCGTCCATAAGGGATTTTGACTATAACATATTCTCATAAAATTCATTTTATTGACAAATAGATATATATATATACATATGTATACAATTATTATTGTTATTGTTTGTTCATTGTGGCTTTTAAATTAATGAAATTATTATTTAATTTATGTATGTGTGCTGCCAGAGTGCCATTATTTATTTTATCCTTCATTTCACGTTTTTGTGAGAGAAATGTAAAAAATAAATTAAATTGTTCAACACACTTCCTAAAAACATGGTGTTTGCATTGGTTTAGTGTAAACTTTTAATTGCTGTTACCATGTCTACGACACAAATTGTAGACCATAAGATTCATAATGTTTAATAAAATTGGGATTACACTAAATACAAACTTGTTTTTTCAGTAATGCCACACCTATTTCATCAGGTTTTTTGTTTTGTTTTTTAGCGGAATAGAAAAATATCAGCAGAAAGATATTGAACCATATATGTATATATACAGTAGTCACCATTTGCTAGGGATTGTGTTTTTACATAATAGGTACACTAATGTTAATAAAGGTCAATTCTAGAAAAAAAACACATAGCTTGGAAGTCATCTGGACATTGTCTGCCAAGTGCAAACTTTCTGCCTGTGTGACTTTGATTGGATCCTGGCTTTGTTTTCCAACCATACCCCCGAATTAAATATTCATACAGTGAAATTGTGAGGTGCAGAACTTAACAGGGCTGTTGGGGTGCTGCAGGGAGGCATGACTTGAAATAGGGTTGCTGCTGCTGTTGGCATATCCCAAAGTGTGGTGTCCAGGTCCTGTAACAGGTTCAGATGGTTTGGCAGAGTCAATTGGAGACATGGTGGAGGAAGGAGAAGACTAACAAGACCACTACTTGACCATCCATAACTCCCTTCAATATGCCACAGTAGTCTAAACAGACACCTTCATGAAGCTCAGTTGAGGGCTAGACCTCCTGCTGTTCATGTTCCTATAAGCCGACAGCACAGGCAGGCATGACTGCAGTGGGCTGGAGAACACAGGAGGTGGACTGCGCAACAGTGAAGAGCCGTACTCTTCACTGACGAGTCCTGCTATTGTGTGGACTTTCTTGACAAGAGTTTGGAGATGCCCTGGTGAGCACAATTTACCTCAGAATGTCATTGAACATGATTGCTTTGTATGAGGCTCAGTCATGGTGTGGGGAGATATCTCAATTGCAGGCCATACCAACTTTGTAATAATCCAAAATGGAAGTCTCACCAGCCTAAGATACAGAGATGAGATCCTTGCACCCATTGTTTGTCCATATACAGGTGCAACTTTGCCAGACTTCCTGCCTATGGATGACAATGTGCATCCACACTGTGCAAGGACAGTGAATGCCTTCCTGGAAGCTGAATGAATTCCCAGGATGGAGTGGCCAGCTAGGTCTCCTGACCTCAGTCCAATAGAGCACATCTGGGAGTAGCTACAGACAAGGCTACAAGCTTGTCAACCCACCAAGAATGCTCCAAGACCAACCTGGAAGCTGCCCTTATTGAAGAATGGCAACAGATTCTGCAACAACAATTAGCTAATCTGATCATGAACATGCACAGACATTGTGCAGCAGTCATTAATACTTGAAGTGGTCACACTGACTACTGAAATCATCTTAACTGTGAATTGGACACTTCTTTCAACGACTGTTGATTTTGAATTTTTTCTTGTTAACATTTTACCACAGGATGCATCAGTTCTTCATGCTCTGTTATTCAAGTTAAATGTTACAGAATTGAATAAAGTGTAAAAATGACTTATCCAGGTGTTTTTCTTCCTAAAATGTTCAATCTATACATACCATTGTGGTAGGTGTTTGACATATACTCAAAATAAAACATGATCCCTAGCAAATGTTGACTACTGTATATAAAGAGGAGAAAAGGTTTGAGCCATTCTTTGGTTGAGAGTAGTTTTGTAGACATTGAATGCTGTTGACTAGTTTCTCTCTCCCTCTGGTCATTACATCAAAACTAGAGATGGTTATATCTGAACTTTGTAGGTTCATTTACCTGGCCGTTTAGCCCTTGTATTGTATAAAGTGCAGTTCAGGCTGAAAATACTCTGGTAACTTTGTTCTTAAATATATTTGTGTTCAAGAAAATTATATTGAATACCAAGTTTATATTTCAAAAATATATATTTAAAAAGGAAAAATGTTCCAATCACAACTTTAAACATATTTTAATTGTTATAGCTTAAACAAATGGTATGTACCGTTGATATTTACTCTGAAAGTATATTTGACTGGGCAGTGGGTATGCACATTTATTTGATGTGTTAATGCTATAAAGTATAAAAAATGTATAAATACACAAATGATAAACGTAATGTATTAAGAAAACAAAAAGAAGGTACATAAGAGTGCTCACATACTTATATGAAAATTAAACCAAAGTTTAAAGAAACAAAAAGTGAAAATGGTATTTTAGTAAATGAAAACAGACATGATGAAACCAAATATATTTCCCAATTAATTATTTTTTAAAATAATTCAGGAATGCAAATGAAACTTTGATAATTTCACAAAGCAAGGAATATATCATGGGCATTTTCTTTTGTGGTATTTCAAGTTTAAACATAGCAGAGTTTGCAAGTAGGCTGATGCCCTGTTGTGAGCTATGCCATCATTACATATGACTGATCATCACAATCAGTTTGATCTAAGCTCATAGACATATGAAACATATGCTGCACACTTTAGATTATCTGTTTAACCAAACCATCAGACTGAGGATGATAAATTGAAGTATAAGTCTTCACCATACCCAGTACATTAAACAACTCAACAAACAGCTGACCATTAAAGTGTACTCCTTCATCAGTGTGGGTCTTGTTTGGTGCTCTGAAGCAAGTTATCCACTGTTCAGCTATTCTGTAAGTGACTGACCTATGCTTCAGCCCACTTAGCAAGATAATCAATTACCACCAGAATATAACAAATACCATGGTTGGTTTTGGGAAGAGTAATTGTTGTGTAATTTTGGGGAAAATCGTGGATCTGAGAGACTTTCAAACCATTAGTTGCAACTAAAGTTGGACACCACACTTGCCCTTGTTATAGTGATGGGACAGTGTTCTTTCCTGTCCCTACAATTGTTCAAACAATTGCCAGAGGTTATACTATTTCATACTGTGTTCACTGATCTCTGATGGTCATGTTTCACAATACTGCATGGTAAGTAGTTTCCGAACTTGATAAATTTTTTAATTGCTTTTCTTTTAATTTTTCTCTCAGTATTTCATACTCGTGGATCAGTGGAAACCTCCCCATTTACCTATTTTATTGCATTGATTGAGTTACTATGTTTCACAGCAGCATTATTTCCAGGATCTGAACATACTGTAAACAAAGACAAAATCTCATATGTGAGCAAAACAATTCCATCCACATTTCCATGCTGCAGGGTTTGTACATTTAGTACTGTGCAATAAAAATTGTACTGTTGCAAAGCTGTGATCATACCTTCTGGTCCTTTAAAGTTCATGAACCACATTATCAATGCATGATGTACACTAGCATTAAATTATCTGCCATATTGGTAAAATTACTTGACAAATACTACAACAAGGAGTAGTTCTTTCTTTGTGTGGGAAAAATGTTTGGTAGATATTAGTATTTGAATGTAAGCTATAATTGTGATAATACTACTTTGATTCCACTGTTACTGGATATCATCAGATAAGCTAATATTGATGCATCAACAAATGCACACTTTAGCAACTGGTATGACTTAGTAGTCTTCTGTCTCTGTTATAAAGTGCCCAGACTTACTTTTATCCACCTAGGTTCTTGATTTTTGCATTAGCACTTTAAGACTGGTATCTGCAGAAGCATAGGGAGTTCTTTTATTTCAAATTAGGACACAGCAGGCAGTTCTATTTTACCTGGCCATGGAAATTTGGTCTGGGACAATGTACAAAGTAGGTGCACTGATTAACATGAATGCTTCGACTTGATATCAGTCACAGTTGAAGCTTTTGCCGTCGATGGCTGGGCCATCACAACTTGGTTTATGGATCCTGACGTAGTCAAACCTTCCCAGCACTTGGATGACCTCCACAAAGACGTCTTTTTGGAAGGTCCTCTTTGGTTTTGGGATATAGTTCTCCAGTGAATGCATTTCAAGTGCCGAAAATTATTCTCCACAAGACTCCCAACTATTGAACATTTTGAAATCCAAGGATGAGTTCCCAAAGATTCAGCTGGCTCAGGTTTAACGGGGGTCATCATTGTTTCCAGAGAGGGACTCTTTTGTTGGGTAGCAGGTATACTGGGTTTGATCAAGGTAGAGGTGGTGGCCAACAACATAGTTCACACAGATCCTCTCTGGTTGGCTGTGGTTGCTTTCCAATCCCTAGTAGTCTGGGAGGTTGGGTACCCTGGAGATTTCAGGGCCAGTCCATCTGCACCTTCAGTCAGAACCTGCATGTTAGATTAGTTGACAAGAAATACATCTTCATCCATCAACTCTGACTTTTCCTAACCAAACCTCAGGTTAGCCCCTGGATTCTTAGAGACTGCAGAGTAATAGAAAATATCTTGAAAATCAAACAGGTAACATATGAAGCATTGGCTTTTGGGTCTGGCAATATGAATGAAAAATAAACAATAGCTATTTGAGAAAAGGATATCCAGAAGTGTTATCAACTTGATCTTAAAAAAGTTGGGATTGATTGGTTAAAAGTGTGAGTTAAAGTTGTAGCAGCCCAGTTATAAGCAATATTCTGTCGTAAAATTTCCCTAAGAAACAGAGTGCCAAAATTATTGCTGTAATCAAGTGACATTTATGCAGGCTTACGTGTACTCACGTGTATATCACAGAGATTTATTTTCTTGTACAAGACCATCTGGATGCATGTATTCTTTTCACCAATGGACATCCCAATCCCCCAGGCTGGACCAGGTGGTTAGAGCACTCGACTCGCAATCTGAGGGTCGCGGGTTCGAATCCCCATCCCACCAAACATGCTCGCCCTTTCAGTCGTGCGGGCATTATAATGTG